ATAATGCAAGAGATCAGATCTAAGAAGTGTGTATTATTGAGAATATGAATCTGTTACTACAGTAAGCCCAACGTATACATACTAGTTACAAACAAAAACAGCACCACTTCTTTCTCACTGTTTAACCTACAAATAGGAAGTCTTAAAAGTATCTGGAAGAAGCAGCACTTACAAAGCAGTAGAAAATAAACAGCAGTTAGACTTGAAGGCACCCAGAGTTCCCATCTTATTAGTGTTTATCAGCAAGTTTATCTTTAGGTTTTTCTTTCTTTCTTTTTTTGGTCTTTTTGAGACAGGGTTTCCCTGTAGCCCCAGCTGTCCTAGAACACACTATGGAGACCAGGCTGGCCTTGAACTCACAGAGATCCGTCTGCCTCTGCCTCCCAAGTGCTGGAATTAAAGGCGTGCGCCACCATGCCCGGCATAAATAGAATCTTAAAAACTAAACAAAAATGCCAGGCATGGTAGCACACACCTTTAACACCAGCATTTGGGAAGCAGAGGCAGGTAGATATCTGTTAGTTTGAGATCAGCCTGTCTACACAGCAAGTTCTAGGCCAGCCATGGCTGCATGTTGGCACATGTCTAATCTCAGCACTCAGGAGACTGTGGCAGGAAGATTGGTTTGAGTTCAAGGCCAGCCTGGTCTCCATAGTGAGTTCCAGGACAGCTAGGGCTACAGGGAGACCTTGTCTCAAATAGACCGAAAAAAAAAAAAAAGTGAATAAATAACTTTTTAAAAGCTGAATAAAGCCAAGTGTGTCTTTATAAAATAAGACACTTTAGAAATAAAGCCACTTATTCTGCCACTCAGAAGCCTGAGACAGGAGGATTGTGAGTGTTAGCCCAATCTGGGCTACATAGTGAACCCCAGGCTAGCCTGGGTTATATAGCAATATTCTGTCTCAAGTAGACAAAAAGGCTGATATTCCTTTGTATGTATATACTTTTAATTATTCATCTTTGTTTTCTTTCACTGCTAGGGACTGAGCTCAGGACTTTGTACATGCTGGATAAATGCTGTGTTACTGATCTACATCCCCAGCCTTCTAGTCATCTCATTTTATTTTGGTTTGCTTTTTTTCCCTGTCTTTCTTCTCTCTCTCTCTCTCCTCCCTTCTCCCCCCCCATCCCCCCACTCTCTTTGAAGCAGGATCTCACTTTGTAGCCCTGGCTGACCTGAACTTGATAATGTAGACCAGGCTGGCCTTGAACTCAGAGATCCACCTGCCTCTGCCTCCCAAGTGCTGGGATTACAGGCATGCCCATACCTGGCTCTTCTTCCTCTTCCTTATTTATTATTTTTTGTTTGTTTATATTTTTTAGACAGGGTCTCACTATGTAGCTCTGGCTAGCCTGAAATTTGCTATGTAGACCGACCAGACTAGCCTCGAATTCACAAAGATCCTCTTGCCTCTTCTTCCTGAGTGCTGAGATTAAAGGTGTGTACCACCACACCTGGCTCTTCTCTCTTGATGGACAGTTGGCTTGTTTCTACTTCATCTGCTGTGAATGATACCACCCTGAAAATCTGTGTACAGTCATCTGTTTGATTCCTTGCCCTCAGTTATTTTAGGTGTATATCTCTATGTGAAAATGCTGGTCTATTTTTAATTTTATTTTTATTTTGGCAGGTTCTCACTCTAGCCTAAACTGACACAGAACTCACTCTGTAGCCCAGGATGGCCTCAGTCTTACGGTGATCTTCCTACCTCAGCCTCCTGAATGATAGGATTATAATCATGAGCTACCACCTGACTCTTTTTTTTTTTCAATGTTAGACTCTAGCTGTGTAGCCCAGGCTAGCCCCAAACTGATGATCCTCTTTCATCAAGAATTCTGGGATTTCAGGTGTGCACCACCACACCCAGCTGTAGTATTTGACTTTTTAAAGAAATACCAGTTTTTCCAGTGGCTGCCCCATTTCACATTCCCCCCAACCAAGCATATAGGCTTCTGTTTTGTCCACGTGCTCCATCTGGGAGTGTGGCTCCATTCTAGAGCACCTGCCTAGCACATGCAAAGCCCTGGGCTTGCCCCCCAGCAACAGGAAATAAAAGGGGTGTGGGCGCTGATACCTAGCAGGTAGGGGGAATATTAAGTGTGAAATGGCCTGGTCTTAGGCTGGTGAGTTGTAGTGCATAGCTCAGAATGTCTGGCAAGAGGTGTTCTGAAGGAATGTAGTAAACTGAAATCACCAGAAGTTGCACAGTGTCTGCGGGCAACAGCGTGCCATTCACTGTGACCAGATGCCTATTGTGTGTGTAGATAACCTCGTGGCCTCCAGAAAGTCTTCCTCCTCTAGCTGGGACTCGGCCAAACCGAGTCTCATAAGGCTACCTGTGGTTTGAATGACATTGAACATCTGTGACCTTGGTTCTCTGGCCTCCTGAACAGAAGGGTTGGACCCACACATTGACAGTGACTGAGACTTGTAGTAGCCACCTGCTGGCCAGAAGCACACCAAGTCCCTGTCTGAGGCCTCTTGGCAGTAGTCCTTTGTCCAATTAGGGGACTCCTCTCTAAGGCCCTCTTTCTCCTTTCCTCACAGTAGCATTTGCTGGCTGCCCTGGACAAGAGCTGTCCCTGCATGGAGCTGATAATGGTGACATTACTGTGATGAACGGCAGGACAGTCCAGGTAAAACACCAAGTCTGTCTTCAAGACTAAAGGGAAATGCTCTCAGAGACCTTCAGACTCTGCTGGCTAGAGTCCTTGGTTGCTATAGTAATACTGAGTCAAGTTATCCCCTTAAAGGGCGGTTTTAGCCCTCAGTGGTGCAGCTGTGAGCAGAGTGCTAATCAGAGGAGGAAGTGACTGAACCTGCCCAGTAGGGGCCCCAGAGAGTCAGGCCTTGGAGCCTGGGAGAGCAGAAGGCGACCATCACCCTGAGTGCTCAGCTCCACAGATACCTCCAACACTTCCTTCCCTTTCCAAATGGTCAAGGTCAACTCCAAGTGAAGGCCATTCCAGCACAGGATTGCCAATCCCCATGAGTCTCTATTCAGAAGGTGGACCTGAGGCACTTATTCACACTTCTTGGTGTGAACAGCCATATGTTCAAAACAGAAATGTTTAGAATAAGGCATGGTGGCACATGCCTTTTATCCCAGCACTCTGGAAACAGATCCCCTGAGTTAAATCCCCAGGACCACAAAAGGAAAGGAAAGAACTAACTCTGAAGGCTATGCTCTGCCATACACAATCCATGATACATGCCCATCCTCAAATAAATGAACTCTAAGCTAACAATGTGTATCAAACAGCTTTCCCTTTTAGCACATAATAATCATCATCATTTTTCAGAGCCATATAGTATTCCAGTACTTGGACACTTAGTTTCCTTGTGCAGAAGCCCCATCTAGATCTCTCTACTCACATTTACCTCATATAGGTGAGAGGTTACTGGGCCATTCCATCTCTTTGCATTCAAATTAAGGGGCCTTCTCTCCTTACAGGAAAGGAAGGCAGCACTAAGCTCCCCATCCAAACGCATCTTACGAAGACGGAAGAGAGAATGGGTAGTACCGCCAATATCAGTCCCTGAGAATGGCAAAGGCCCCTTCCCTCAGAGACTGAATCAGGTATGACTGTGCCCTCTGCCTGGGAGGCACTGGTGGCTGCAGCGACCTGCCATCCAAAGGCCTGAGAGCTAGGCTCACTGTTGCATTCTGGGGCCTGCAAAGGGCTCTATGCTACCCTTTGAGGCACGTGTCACTTTATTAGCTATTGTTTTACTTTGGTTCCAGCTCAAATCTAATAAGGACAGAGGCACCAAGATTTTCTACAGCATTACAGGGCCCGGAGCAGATAGCCCCCCAGAGGGTGTCTTCGCCATAGAGAAGGAGACAGGCTGGCTGCTGTTGAATAAGCCACTGGACCGGGAGAAGATTGCTAAGTATGAGGTGAGTAATGTTTAGCACCCAGTGTAGACACCCTGGTGCAGAGGGCAGCCCCAGCTGACCCCTGGACCTCTGTGCCCACAGCTTTTTGGACACGCAGTGTCTGAGAATGGTGCCTCAGTAGAGGATCCCATGAACATCTCCATCATCGTGACAGACCAGAATGACCACAAGCCCAAGTTCACCCAGGATGTCTTCAGAGGGAGTGTTTTGGAGGGGGTACTGCCTGGTAAGAGGATTTAGAGGGGACCACTCTGGGCTATCTGGGCCCCGACTTAGTTGGGAGTCAACTTCTGGAGGTCAGCCCAGACCTTCACACTCCAGGACCTCACCCCTCCTAATTTCTCTGGCTATACATCACATTCCCCAGGATCTCATCAGTCCAGATTCCCCCAGTCCACCCCGTGAGTCCTGGTCAAGCCTGGTCTTGTAACAGAGCTCTGGAATCCACCTTTGAAACTTTCCTAGAAGCTGCAGGCTCAGCTAGCCTTAGGAGCTGCTGGCATGACTGTAAAGATCAGGATTTGAACCTGGACTTTGCCTTTTTGTGGGTTGTGACTTTGGACTTATTCTTGACCTGAACCTCAATCCAAATGGGAATAGCAACCCTGAAGAATTATGAAGATTAGAAATAACACATGCTAGCCAGGCGTGGTGGCGCACGCCTTTAATCCCAGCACTCGGGAAGCAGAGGCAGGCGGATCTTTGAGGGTTCAAGGCCAGCCTGCTCTACATAGTGAGTTCCAGCCTACAGAGAAACCATCTCAAAAAGAACGAAAAAAAAAAGAAAGGAAAGAAAAGAAATAACACATGCCACCAAGCGTGTAGCTCAGGTAGAACACATGCTGAGCCTTAGGTACTAGCATGAGAGAGGAAGAGAGAGAGAATGAATTACATCATGTATGTACTATTGTATGCTGTGAAGCACCTGACCCAGAGTTTGTCAGTGAAGGCAGCCGTAAGGAAAGCAGCCAGGGCTGGGAAGTGTTAGACTGTGACTTATCGAAAGCAAAACTAGGGCTGGAGAGATGGTTCAGCAGTCAAGAGCTCATATTGTACTTGCTGAGGTCCCGAGTTTGGTTCCCAGTACCCACATCAGATGGCTCATAACTGCTTGTAACTCCATTTCCAGAAGGTCTGACGCCCTCTTCTGGCTTCTGAGGGTACCTGCATTCACATGCACATACACATACACATGTACACAGTTAAAAATCTTGGTGCTAGAGAGATGGCTCAGCAGTTATGAGTGCTTGCTGCTCTTGCAGAGAACCCAGGCTCTGCTCCTAGCACCCACATAAGTTCACAATCACCTGTAACTCCAGTTCCAAGGGATCCAATGCCCTCTTCTGGCCTCCATGGGCACAGCATACATGTGGTACACATAAACATTCAGGCAAAACACTCATACACATAAAATAAAACTTAAATAAATAAATAAATAAAAGTAGTTTTTAAGACAGAAAGTAAGAACAAGTTACCAGGGCTAGAGAAGAGGGCAGTAGAAAGTGAGGGAACAGGTCTATGTTAATAAGCTCAAGACAGGTGTGAGGGACAGGGAAGGGTTTGCCCTCTTTTTTTCTTTTGTTTTAGGTAGTGCAGATTAATCACTTCTTGATCTCTTGCCTCAGATCAAGTTAGTAGTAGAATTTCAGAGACGAGATTTGATCAGACTGCCAGTAACAGAAATTCTCACCATTCAAATGTTTGGTTGTTGTTTTTATTTGTTTTCATTTTTTTAAGATAGGATCTCCCTATGTAGCCCCAGCTAGCCTCAAACTTGTGACCCTCTTGCTTTAGCCTCCTGAGTACAGACTTGTACTGCCACTGCAAAAAACTGTCTGTTTTTTGAGACTCTGTAGTCCTGGTTGGCCTCAGCCTCCTAAATTCTGGGATTACAAGTTTGATTCATGACTCCCTGATCTGAGCACATTCTTATAAAAACGCTTCCTCCAAAGATGTGCATTCTGTTTGTCAGAAACTGCTGTCATGGTCACAGCTAGCTGTAAGAGGAATGGGACATGTACTGTTTGTTCCCTCTGTGCCTGTGTCCTACTTAGAAGCCTAGATCAAGCATCTAGGAAAGAAGGGGATGATGGGAAGTGGACTCTGGGGAGTAGTCTGCCACAGAATAGGGGCTCTGTTCTGGGCAGAACCTTGAAGGGTTCCAGAGTGCACAAGGCTGGGACCTGATGGAGAGGGAAGGATTCTTACTGGTCCCCGCTCCCGCAGGCACTTCTGTGATGCAAGTGACAGCCACAGATGAGGATGATGCCATCAACACCTACAACGGAGTGGTGGCTTATTTCATCCAAAGCCAAGAACCAAAGGAACCTCATGACCTCATGTTCACCATCCACCGGAGCACTGGCAGCATCAGTGTCATCTCCAGTGGTCTGGACCGCGAGGTGAGTGGCCCACAAAGGTTGCTCAGACTGAGGCCTAACTCAGAGCTCCTGTGCCTGCCCTAACTAAAGTCAAGGTGGAATAGTGGGGACCCAGATCAATGGAGAGGGCTGCTGCTGCATTTACTTGCTGTTGTCCCCCAGCTCCTTTGGACAAGTGACCTGCCGCCAGTCTCACTGAATCCCCCTAGGGTGATGAGGCAGCTGTAAAATTCAAGCTTTGGAGCTTTTCTCATTTCCTGCTGGAATGGCTCATCGCCTGCATTTGTCCCTTGTGTGCCACAAAGTGGAATTGGCTCCATGGACATTGGAATTACCTTCTGTTTTCTAATTAATATCTTTGCCCAGTTCTCTGCTCAAAGCTCCCATGCGTAGGAACAGCTGAGGGTCAGGGCAGTGACTGGGCTTCCTCAGGATAACCCAAGAAAACTATTGGGACCCAAGGCTCTAATCCCACTCCACACACACGCGCACACACACACACCCTCCCTCCCTCCCTGGAAGGTGGGGGGTTGGGAGGGGCAAGAATCAAGATAGCATAGTGAGAAGGAAGAAGCTCCTCCCATCTCAAGCTCCTCCCACCTCCACCCCACCACAGCTATGCTTCTTGGAGCCCAGGTGAGTGACCCTTTGAAGACTCAGAGTAAGCATTCCCTTTCTCCCCAGAAAGTGCCCGAGTACACACTGACCATCCAGGCCACAGACATGAATGGAGATGGCTCCACCACCACAGCAGTGGCCATGGTGGAGATCCTTGACGCCAATGACAATGCTCCAGCGTTCGAGCCCCAGAAGGTAATACCCCTTCCTTCCTGCTCAGAAACCAATCTATGTGCTTTGAGTACCAGTTCTACCACTTCCCTGGCTGTGTGGCCTTAGGCAAACCACCTAACCTCTTGGGCCCCAGGTCCCAAATACCTGATAATTTGTTCTGAGTTTCAGTGACATGGTCTGTGTAGTTCTTTATACTATATAGGTAATACAGGTGCTTGATATGAAAATCTTTATGGGTATGAAAACTTACGTGCCTCTAAGCTATACTGGTCCATCTTCTGCAAGTAGAACTTATATGCCATCTGTGTCAGAAAACTCAAAGCTAGAGCTGGGGAAGATGGCTCAGTGGGCAAGAACATATGCCAGCTAAAATAACACATACCCCCTTGTATTTGTACACATCTGACTGTGGAACATTATTTAGACCTCATTAAAAATTTGCCTGGGGGCTGGAGAGATGGCTCAGTAGTTAAGAGTGCTGATGCCTCTTGCAGAAGACCTGGGTTCAGTTCCCAGTACCACACAACTGCCTGTAATTCCAGTTCCAGGAGATCCAATGACTTCTAGCCTTCAAGGGCTCCTATATGCATGTGTTACACACGTATTCATGCAGGTGCACATACATACACATATATAAAAAATAAATAGATGTCTTTAATGTGTGTAATGTGTTTCATGTGCAAGTTTAAGAAACTGAGTACAGCCGGGTGTGGTGGCGCACGGCTTTAATCCCAGCACTAGGGAGGCAGAGGCAAGCCGATCTCTGTGAGTTCAAGGCCAGTCTGGTTTACATAGTAAGTTCCGGGACAGCTGGGGCTACAGAGAAATGCTGTCTCAAAAAGACAATCAGAGAAACATGGGAACCCCTGCTCTTTTAAAGACACAACCAATTAAAAACTATTGCTTTGGCCGGGCGTGGTGGTGCACGCCTTTAGTCCCACCACTCAGGAGGCAGAGGCAGGTGGAGGAAGGAAGGAAGGAAGGAAGGAAGGAAGGAAGGAAGGAAGAAAAGAAACTGAGTACAAAGCCAGGTATGGTTGCACACTCTTGTAACTCCAGTACGATTCCTAGGGCTCACTGACTCAGCAAGTCCCAGGTCCCAGGGAAAGACCTTGTCTCAAAACACAAGGTGGGCAGGGACTAGAGATGGCTCAGAGGTTAAGAGCACTGAGTGCTCTTGCAGAAGAGCTGGATTCTATTCCTGATGGCTCGTCTCTCTGCTCTGATTGCACTGTCTCCCTCGCCCCACAGTATGAGGCCTGGGTGCCTGAGAATGCAGTAGGCCACAAGGTACAGAGCCTGACAGTGACGGATCTGGATGCTCCCAACTCACCAGCCTGGCGTGCCACTTATCGAATTGTGGGAGGTGACAGCGGGGACCATTTTACTATCACCACCGACCCCGAGAGCAACCAGGGCATCCTGACAACGAGGAAGGTGAGTCTGGGCCTTAAGCAAAGGCCACAGCTGGGCAGCCGGGTCTGCAGGCCTCTAGGACAAGGGTGCACCTCCTGCCTCAAGCCGCTTACCTTGGGCTATTTATCAGGGACTGTATCAGGACAGTGGCTTCCAATCCTGTCCCCTTGTACTTGTTTTGAAGATCTGTTTGTTCAAACTATACTTTACCAGGGACACTTCATAGACGGGTGACAATTGCTGAGGTAACTGAAGTAATAGGTGTCACTCTGCTCCCCGGGTCCTGTGTCCAGAGGCTGCTGCCTCCAGAGTCAGCTGTGGAGCATCCTGCTTTGATTAGAGATGTGCTAATTTTGTACTGATTCTGTGGCATGCATCTAGGAATTGGCTAGTAGAAGTCTTTAAATTACTGGGTAGGTACATCCTTGCTTCTCAAGATCGCTTTCTGAAGGGCCAGATGTGGTGGCATGCCTTTAATCCCAGCACTGGGAGAGGCAGGCAGATCTCTGTGAGTTTGAGGCCAGCCTGGTCTACATAGCGAGTTCAAGCCAGCAGCTGGGGCTACAGGGAGACCCTGTCTCAAAAAGACTGGGGCATGGGGGGGGGACACTTTCTGAGGCTAAGAAGAGCTGAAGGTGTGCCTTCATGCTAGGCACGTGCAAGGCCTTAAGTTCAGGACCCCCTCAATACAATTATTATTTTGGCTTTTTGGGACAGGGTCTTGCTGTGGTTGTTTCTTCTTGTTGTGATAGGTTTTTTTTGGTTTTTGAGGTAGTGTTGTTTTTATAGTGGTGCTTGGGATTGAGCCTTGGGCCTTGGACATGCTAGGCAAGTATACTACCACTGAGCTACATCCCCAGCCCATCCATTTTTTTAAAAAAAAAGAAAAGGAAATTTAAAAAAAACTTGTTTTTATTCGGATTATTCAGATATAGAATATAGGTTGGGTAAAAAGTCTTTGAGAAACTAGAGAGGTAGCTCAGGGGTTTAGGGGTTTAAGAACATTTTTTGTTCTTCCAGAAGACCCAGGTTCAATTCCCAGCACCTGCATAGCAGCTCTGTCTCTCTCTTCTGGCCTTCACAGGCAGTACATACATACCAGTAAACATACCAGCAATCAAAATACTTGTGCAAATAAAAATAAATAAATCTCTTTTTTTGGGTATTTTTGAGGTAGGGTCTCCCTGTAGCCCCAACTGGCCTGGAACTCATTATGTAGACCAAGCTGGCCTTGAACTCACAGAGACCAGCCTGCCTCTGCCTCCCAAGTGCTGGAATTAAAGGCATGTGCCACCACACCCAGTTTAAATAAATCATTTTCTAAAAAAAGACTTTGAGAGCAGGACTTGATGGTTTACACCTGTAATCCCCAACACTTAGGGGGTTAGAGAGGGAGGAGGCTCACTCAAGGTCATTCTCAGCTCCATAGCCAGTTTGAGTCCAGCCTAGGCTACAGGAGATCCTGTCTCAAAAAACAAACTAAATAAATAAATAATAAATAAACAAATCTTTGAATAAGATCAATTCTTTAAGAGCCATACACGATTGGGGCGTGGTGGCACACGCCTTTAACCCCAGCACTCTGGAGGCAGAGGCAGCCAGATCTCTATGAGTTCAAAACCAGCTGGGGCTACAGGGAGACCCTGTCTCAAAAAAAAAAAAAAAAAAGGGACCAGAAAAGGGCCCTGACCTTTCTTTGATTTCTTTTAGTTTCTAGTTTACAATAGAAGATGGCCTAGGTTGAGAAGCAGTTTTTAAAAACACTCTAAGAACACATACCTATAATCCCAGTTCTCTGGAGGCAAAGACAGGAGGCTCACTGTGGCCAGCCTGGTCTATATAACATGTTTCAAACCAGCTAGGGATATTTTCTAAGACCTTATCTCTAAACAAAATAAGCCAAGTATGGTGGCTCATGCCACCAGAACTGAGGAGGCAGATGTAGGCTCATCTCTGAGTTTGAGGTTAGCCTGGTCTACATAATGAGTTCCAGGTCAACAAGGGCTACATAACAAGACCTTATCTCAAAAAAACAAAAACTCCCACAAAACAAAATAATAAATACTGCCTCATATGTTAATAAATAATAAATACTACTATTTTTAAATAAATTAATTGTAATACTCTTTTATATTGTGAAATGAAGTTCATATATAATATGACTTAGTTAACTCATCTTTTCTGGAAAAACAGGCTGGGCATGTAACTCAGCAGTTGGTCATTTTGCCCAGTATATACAAAACTGTGGGTTTGATTCCTACTGCTAAAAAGAGAAGAAGAAAAAGAAAAATAGACTGTCACAATTTAAAAGAATAAAGAAGTTTTCAGAACATAAAATATTTTGATATGTGAATTTGGGGGCACTAGAAAACCCAGTGAAGTGGTCAATATAGAGGAACAGCCTCTACATGTTGCTCTGGTAATGCATTACCACAGTTGGTATTCAGAACGGTGAGTAAACAACTCCCAAAAACATCCTGAACAAATTAAATTATAAGCTCTCTTCAAAAGCTGCATTCCAAGAAATTTCAGTACATATTAAAACCATACCAAAATCTCGGGCTGCATGTTAAACATGTTCTTGGCTCTAATTATAAACAAGTTTTCAGACCCATAAATGTATGAGTGTCGATGGGGACATTGGCAAGTCACACAAGATACAGAGTCCATTCTTTGTAATATTGATGTGACATAGCATCCTTACCCCAACCTGTACGTACTAGAGGCATGCCAGTCATGACAACTAAAATGCCCACAGCTTTTCTAAAACGCCCTTAAAGAGCATCACCACCCCATTGGGAACTAATGTTCTCACTAAGCCTTTGGGGTGGTCTGAAAGACACCAACAGATGTCCCATCAGGAAACACAAGAGGCTTTTAGGAAGGGGAGGGGACAGGGTCATTGCTGACCAGAGCTTCAGTTCTTTCACCGTGGCTCTTCTGATGCCTCCTGTGTCTGATGCTCAGATTCTTCTTCTCTCCTAGGGCTTGGATTTTGAGGCCCAAAACCAGCACATACTGTACATAGAAGCAACCAATGAGGTCCCCTTTGTGGTGAAGCTCCCAACTGCCACCGCCACCGTAGTGGTCCATGTGGAGGATGTGAATGAGGCCCCTGTGTTTGTCCCACTCTCCAAAGTCATTGAGATCCAAGAGGGTATCTCTGCTGGGGAAGTGGTCTGCGTCTATTCTGCACAGGATCCTGACAAGGAGGATCAGAAGATCAGGTACCCAGGGACTGGACACCAAGACGGCCAAATGTCCAGACACACTTGGGTGGGTTGTTCCAATTACTATACAGCTTATTTGATACTGTGACTGTATCTTAGCACCAGACCCCTCCTTCCTGCCAAACTCAAGGCTGAAGGCTCTGAGTTAGGGCTTCACAGTCAGGTGTGACTTTCACTGTACTCACATATCCCTGCTGGGTCCCACCTAATGCCACAACATAAAGTTCCTGTGTGGTCCTGCTGAGGAGCCCAGAGACCTTCTGGAGCTGGTCTGAGGAGGCAGGCTGTGAATGATGGCAGTGTACACTCTGTATATACTGCCTGTAACCCTTCTCAACTCTTTCTGCCAGCTACCACATCCTGAGAGACCCAGCCAGGTGGCTAGCAATGGACCCAGACAGTGGGCAGATCACTGCTGCCGGCATCTTGGACCGAGAGGATGAACGGTTTGTGAAAAACAACATCTATGAAGTCCTGGTCTTGGCCACAGACAATGGTGAGAGCTTTGGCCCAGCCTTTCCACAAGGGATGCCTGTAGCTCCCAGGGCACACGACACAGCATATTCCCTCCTTAGCAGAGGTCGGTGGTGTAAAGGGTGTTGGCAAACCAGTATAGAGTTAAAGGGCTGACTATTATGATTCTGATTTCTCTAAATCGCAAGAGCCAGGCAAGGGCCTGAAGACTCCCTTTGCAGATAGTTTTTAGTTCACTGAACCCTGAATTGGCCTGTCAGTTTCTCCTCATGGCTGATTGATAGGGACTGTTGGGAAGTGTCACAGTTGATTAGTGGATTTGCACCATGACCAAAGGAGATACAATGTTATGCTATCTCTGTTGACACTTAATGAGCCTTGAGGCAGGTTCCCTGAAGCTGCAACTTCCCTGGAACTGATCAGCAGACACTATAATAGCCTTGAGGTGGCCAGTGGGTTTTATTCTGTGATAGATTATACTGGTTATCTGGATGCAGTGGCTGCAGCTGTGCTGTGATTTGTTAGTAATGTCTGCTGTGGACACAAAATAGAACCGATGGCTCAATGGCTCGATTGCTATGTATTTGCTAATGCTGGTTTTATCCACAGTGACGTTAGTGCATGGAGGGACTTGAGAGGTCACTGGGTGGTAAACAGGAGCCACTTGGAGGCTCATTTGAGTAGGTCTTAGGGGAACTTAACATTGGTTTATTCACCAACCAAGAGCAAAGACTGAAAAGAAATTTATGTCTAATTGTGGACAGGGAGCCCTCCTACCACCGGTACGGGGACCCTCCTCCTGACACTTACCGACATCAACGACCATGGCCCGGTCCCTGAACCCCGTCAGATCACCATCTGCAACCAAAGCCCTGTGCCCCAAGTGCTGAATATCACGGACAAGGACCTGTCCCCCCATTCCTCCCCTTTTCAGGCCCAGCTCACACATGATTCGGACATCTACTGGATGGCAGAAGTCAGTGAGAAAGGTAACTGAGTGGTGGGTGCCAGTTCTGCTGGGTGGGCATTTGCCCCACCCCAGGACCTACACACATTTCCTGTTCCAGCAGCTGTGGTCATAGAATTAATGGTTTCCTCAAAAATGACCATCAATAGAGGCTGGAGAGAATGGCTCAGTGGTTAAGAACACTAGCTGTCCTAGCAGAGGACCCAGGTTCAGTTCCCATCACCTACATGGTGGCTAACAGCCATCCATAACTCCAGTTCCAGGGGATCCAATGACCTCTTCTGGCCTCCATGGGCATTGCATGATACATGTGCACTTACATACTTGCAGGCAAAACATTCCATTTTTTTTTAATGGCCATCAAATGCTATTTATTAACCTTGTATAAGCTTTTGAATTCTTCAGGAGCCCCAACGGATGTTTCTAGTCTATCAAGCCTGACTAAAAGATGTTAAAAACAAGCCCTAGAGAGGGAGTGACTTACCCAATATCACAGAGCATTGAGAGCTGACACATTCTGAGCACACACTATGATTTTAACACTCTTCACGTACCTAACACTATAGTACCTAGAGCTAACGTCAGCCCCATAGAAAAGTTCTCTCTCTCTCTCTCTCTTTGTCTGTCTCTCTTTTTACAGATGAAGAAACTAAGACTTACAGAGTTTTGTTTTTCTGCTGTGGTAGGAGTTGAACCCAGGTCCTTGTGCTTGGTAAGCAAGCACTTTACCACTGAGCCACACCCCTTACCTAGCCCCAGAAACTTAAATACCTTGTCAGAGGCATTAGGGTTACCAGCTAGAAAGTACTGGTAACTGAGTGGGCTAAAGTACACTATATAAACCAGGCTGGCCTCAAGCTCACAGAAATCTGCCCGTCTCTGCCTTCCAAAAACTAAGATTAAAGGCATGGGCCACTATACCCAGCAAGGCGCTTTTTGTCTATGTTCTTATTTGATGTTTCTACCAAACTGTTATGGATGATCTGCCTTCCAAAAACTAAGATTAAAGGCATGGGCCACTATACCCAGCAAGGTGCTTTTTGTCTATGTTCTTATTTGATGTTTCTACCAAACTGTTATGGATGCAGAGGAGGCTTGGAATGTTAAATAGCTTGTCTAAGGGTACAAAGAGTAGAGACCCAAAGCCAGCCTTTGAACCTGGAGCCCCTGGCCCTTCTTTTTCTGCCCACCTCCTGGTCCTACCACTCCAGTTGCTGCCTCAGAGCTTCGTGGTTCTCAGGAGTTTCTGGTTGTCACATAGAATGGAAAGGGATCTGACTTTAAGTGTATAGAACCTTTTAAAATTTTAATTTTTAATTACAGCAGGGTGGGAGGGGCATATGCACATGAGTGCAGTGTCCCAGAAAAGATCATCGGATCCCCTGGAGCAGGAGTTGCAGGCAGTTGTAGGCCACCTAACATGGGTGCTGGGAACCAAACGGGTCCTCTGCAAGAGCAGTCCATACTTTTAACTACTGAGTCATGTCTCCAGTCCTATGCAGAGCCTTTTAAGCACAAAAGACATAAGGTCAGGGCTAAAATGGAACAGGGCCAGCAAGGCTGGGAAAGCGTGGTAGGTAGAAATGTAGGGGCCGTTTGTAACTGTCCTAGTGTTGTGTGGAGGACACTGCACTACAGGGGAAATCCTGCATGAGTAAGTGTTCCACTGACGCTAATAGCACCCTTCCAGAGAGTTGTATCTAAACCGAAGGCCTCTCTTCAAGGAGCCATGGCATGTTTCTCATCAACAAACACAGCCTTCTGGCCCTCTGCTCCCCACTTGGGGTTTGCCACACAGTCTCCCCAGAGTGAAGCCCTTTATGCAGATCACATCCGACCTCACACATGCTCTGTGCCTCCTCTGCCACCTCTCTGGGCCTTTGAAAGCCTGTTAGCCCAATACTGCAGCATTTGTGGCATCCCTGACTTGTGAACAGTCACAGATACTATGTATGTACAGCACATGCGTACAGGAGCCTCCAGAAGTCAGGGGAGGGCTCTGGATCCCCTGGAAATGGAGTTACAGACAGTTGTAAGCTGCCATGGGGGTGCTGGAAACTGAACCCAGTCCTCTACAAGAGAAGTAAGTGCTCTTAACTGTTAAGCCATCTCTCTAACCCAAATAAAAAAAATTTTTTAAAGAAAGATACAGGGAGACCCTGTCTCAAAAAGGCAATAAATAAATAAATAAATAAATAAATAAATAAATAAGTAAATACAAAGGAAATAAAAGGAGGGTTGGGAGATGGTTCAGTGGGTAAAGCGCTTGTTGCACAAACATTAGGACCTGAGTTCCGTTCCCCAGAACCAATTTAAAATGCTGGATGTTGTGGCATGTACTTGTAATCCCATCCCTGGGCAGAAGGAGACAGAATCCCTAGGGCTCACTGGCTAGCTAGCCTACATAAACTGGTGAGTTCTAGATTCAGGGAGAGACTTTGGAGAGCAATCTAGTGAGATATCCAATATCTAAGTCAAGCATCTGCACACGTATGGCACCACACACATACAAACAGCATGCACTCACATACACCACACATACACATATGGGAGGAAAAAAAAGACAGGTCTATGACATGACTCATCCAGTAAAGGCACTGCGCTTGCCTCAAGGCCTGACAACCTGAGTTCCTCTAAGTTGTCCTCTAACTCCCACATATGTACAGTAGCACATACATGCCCACATTCACACACATATATCATACATACACATACAATAATGATAATGATCATAAAATTTTAAAGAGGAAAAGATACTTTAAAAATGAATTAATTTTTATATCCAATCATCCTTTTCCATAGTGATGAGTTTTACTTTAGCTAGGTTTTTGGAGGGTTGCGTTTTTTTTAATATTTAATTTCTTTTTTTTTTGGTCTTTTTGAGACAGTCTCCTGAAACCCCAGCTGGCCTGGAACTCACTATGTAGACCAGGCTGGCCTTGAACTCATAGAGCTCCGCCTGCCTCTGGGATTAAAGGTGTGTGCCATCACGCCTGGCTATTTTATTTATTTTTATTTTATGTGTATGAGTATATTGCCTGTGTGTATGTGAGTGCACCTGTGTCGTGAAATGCTGCAAAGGTCAGAAGAGGGCTTCAGATTCCCCTGGAACTGGAATTAAGGATGATTCGTAGCTACCATGTGGGTGCTGGGAATTGAACCTGGGTCCTCTGCAAGAGCAGTTAGTGCTCTTAACTGCTGAGCCATCTCTCCAGCCCCAGTTTTGGAGTTTTTTTGTTTGTTTTATTTTGCTTTTCTGTGCTGGGGAGTGAACCCAGAGCCTGCTGGATGCTCAGTAAATGCTCTGTCACAGTGCTACATCTCTTAAACAAAGGCTGCTTTGGGCTGTTCAGGTGCTGTCGCTGTTTGCAACACTTTATTGTCAATACTCAGTTCCCATATGGCACCCCTAGGCTAATAAATTATCTGTCTCTCCAGGAGACACTGTGGCCCTGTCCCTGAAGAAGTTCTTGAAACAAGACACTTATGACGTGCACCTTTCTCTGTCTGACCATGGCAACAAAGAACAGCTAACCATGATCAGCGCCACTGTGTGCGACTGCCATGGCCACGTGAAGACCTGTCCTGAACGCTGGAAGGGCAGTTTCATCCTCCCCATCCTGGGTGCTATCCTGGCTCTGTTGAGTGAGTACCACATGCCTCCACTGGCAACTCAGTGGTTAAGAGACCTGAAATGAAGGGGCTACCAACATTGCTCATCAGAATCTCATCTTCAGGCAACACTCTTGTTATGCTGCCCAGAGGTTGCCTCTTGCATTTGTACTAAAAAGACCTGCTTTAAAAAAAAAAATAGGCAGGGCTGGAGAGACGGCTCAGCGGTTAAGAGCACTGACTGCTTGCTCTTGCAGAGAACCCAGGTTCAATTCCCAGCTCTGCAAGAGCAGCCAGTGCTCTTAACCACTGAGCCATCTCTCTAGCCCCACAAGCACTCTTTTATTAAAGTGCAAGTTTCTATCACATGGCTTGGTACTCAACAAAGGAAATTTTGTTCAATTAAAGCAATATGTTATCAGCATTTCTAGGACTATTTACAAAGAAGTAGGAAAATCTATATACCCTTATGAAGTCCATCCCTGGTGGTTTACACTTTGTCAAGGCCCAGTTCCTTTAGAGCTTCCTGGCTCATTTCAAGTTAGTCTAAGCACCTGGATGATGTGGGAGTGGACTGTCTTATGAGTCTTGTTTTGTCCTTGACAATTTCTGAGCTGTGACTAACACTGTGTAATGGTTAGTTTTTTTTTTTTTGTTTTGTTTTTTAAACACTTTTTTTTATGTTTTTTTTTTTAATTTATTATTTTTATTTTATGTGTATGAGTGTATTGCCTGCATGTATGTGAGTGCACCCATGTCATGCGAGGAGGTCAGAAGAGGATGTTGGATCCCCTGGAACTGGAGTTACAGACAGTTGTTAGCTGCCATGTGGGTGCTGGGATTTGAACCCAGGTCTTCTCCAAGAAGAACCAGTGTTCTTAACCGCTGAGCCATCTCTCCAGCCCCGTAATGGTTAGTTTTAATTGTCAATTTAACACAATCTAGAATGACCTGGGAAGATGTCTCAAGGAGAGATTGTCTAGACTAGGTTGGCCTGTGGGCAAGCCAGTGAGGGATTATCTTGATTACCTTAATTGTGGTGGGAAGACCTGCTCACTGTGGGTGGCACCATTCCCTAGGCTCGCTCCTGCTGTCTCTCTCTCTCTCTGTCTCTCTTTCTCTCTTTCTTTCTTTCCTTTCTCTCCCTCTCTCTCTCTCTCTCTCACACACACACACATGGTCTCCCTGTGTAGCCTTGGCTGGCCTAGAATTTGCTATGTAGACCAGACTGGCCTCAAACTCACAGAGACCTACCTGCCTCTGCCTCCCAAGTGCTGGAATTAAAGATATGCACCCCTGTGCCAAGCTCTCTCTCTCTATTCTTGACTGTGGATGTGACCAGCTGCCTCGAGCTGTGCCTTGACTTCCTTGCAATGATGTACCGTAACCTGGAATTGTGAGCTAAATAACCCTTTTCTTCCCTAAATCATCAGGGTATTTTTTAATCATAGCAACAGGAAATGAAATTAAGAAACTAGAGAAAAAAAGAAAAAAAAACCACCTAACAGCCTACAACCTGCAAAGCAGCATCAATGACTTTGGGTTCTGGAACCAGGTCATAGTCAAACATGTTCATCCATTTATAATTCCCATGCTTGGTGGAGAAGGTGACCCAGTGAGCAAACTCCTTACCTGACATTTATGACCCATGGAAACAGCAGGGAATTGACTGGATAGTGCTATGGGTTCTGGGTCATGATGCAGGAGACCTTAGGGGCCAGTGCTGAACTTCCATACTTGCTCAGACCAAGAGGCTTGGCATCACTGACAATTCTTTTCTTCATATCGATTTTAACTCTTACAACCTCAATCCTACCATCTTGGTCTGAGCTACCAACCATCTTGTCACCTGTAATTCTCTTAAATGGTCTTCCTGCCTCTCCCCTGGCCCCTGCATAGTCAGCTCCATAGGAATATCATAAAACTTACATCATCTCACAGCACCCCTCTGCTCCATATCTGGTGACTTCCCATTTTACAAGAGTCTGTCCAGCAGTCTATAAGATCCAACACAAAGCTGAGTGAGCATGGTGGTGCACACCTTTGATCCCAGCACTTGGAAGGCAGAGGCAAGAGGATCTCTGTGAGTTTAAGGCCAATCTGGTCTATGGTAATGAGTTTCAGGCCAGCTTTCTCAAAAAAAAGAAAAGTTCAAAATTGGGATGGGCTGGAGAGATGGCTCAGTGGTTAAGAACACTGACTGCTCTTGCACAGGACCTGGGTTTGAGTCCCAGCACCCACACGGTTCCTAACAACTGTCTGTAACTCCAGTTCCAGGGGATCTGATGTCTTCTTTTGACCTATTCAGGTATTACATGACACAGGTGCACTTACACACATGCAGGCAACACACTCAAACACATAAAATAAAAAAACAAATAAAATAATAAAGATCCAACACAAGAAATGTACACCTATCACCCCTGACATCACTTCCTCCCTTTCCCTCTCTGACTTTGCCCAACACAGCTACTGCAGTGTTTCCACACTCTGAGCACAGTGGTGCCTTGGGGCCTCTGCATCTGCTTTTCTTCCTTCTTTCAGGTCTTTATTCAACATCTCCTTGGCAACTCCCTTTCTGTTTATCTTTGTTAAAACCACAGACATCCTGATCTGTCCCCCTTCCAGCTTTCTCTTCCTTTACAGCAACACCTTCCCTGTCTGCTAGATGCTTGGTATCAGCTTGAATTGCATTTTGTTTGTTAATTAATTTATTTATTTTTGAGATAGGGTCTCACAATGTTGCCTAGGCTGGCCTGAACTTCTGGCAATTCTCCTGTCTCTGCCCCCTTGAATGCTGAAATTAGACATGTATCACCATGCCCAGCTTTAAGAAATTTGTTTTTATTTCTTTTTTAGGCTAACATACAAAGTGATGAGTTTCATCGTGGCCTCTTCATACATGTGTCATACCTTGCATTCACTCCTCTGCCCTCTGCCTAGTTGTGTCGGTCCCTTTCTTCCTCCAGCTAACGTCTCTTCTTCTGCTTTCCCATTACATACAATCCATTGCCCTATTTCCCACCTCCCTTAAGATCTCTTTCTCCCCTCATAAACCCATTCTAGCTCATGATCTGCAAGCATATATACATATATGTATACATATATGTGCATAATTTTAAATCTGGTACCACACGTGAGAGAAAAGCATGTGGTGCTCGTCTTTCTGAGTCCGGCTTACTTACTTCACTTACGATTTTTCGGTTGTGTCCAGTTTCCTGCAAATGTCATGAAGGAAGTTTGTTTTTAACTAAACACTTCTGTTTACTTGTCTGCCAATTCTCATGTTGTGGCATGTATTAAAAGCCCTTCAGGGCTTGTTAAAACACAGGTGACTAGGTCTTGTACCCAGGTTTCTGGATCAGCAGGTCTGCAGCAGGGCAGGCCTAAGAACCAATTTTTTATTAATTATTTTTATTTTATGTGTATGAGTATATTGCTTGCATGTATGTGAGTGCACCCGTGTAGTATAATGCCTCGGAGGTCAGAAGAGGGCTTCTGATTCCCCTGGAACTGGAGTTAAGGACGGTTTGTAGCTGCCACAACAACCATCCATAACTCCAGTTCCAAGGGAATCCGAGGGCATTGCACAACACATGTGCACTCACATACATGCAGGCAATATATTCATACACATAAAATAAAAATAATAAATAAGGGGCTGGAGAGATGGCTCAGCGGTTAAGAACACTGGTTGTTCTTGCAAAAGACCCAGGTTCAAATCCCAGAACCCACATGGCAGCTAACAACTGTCCGTAACTCCAGTCCCAGGGGATCTGACAGCCTCTTCTGACCTCTGCGGGCATTGCACAACATTGGGTGCACTGACCTACATGCAGGCAGCACATGCATACACACAAAATAAAAATAAATTAAAAAATAATAATAATAAAAAGTAAGAGTCGGGTGTGGTAGTGCACGCCTTTAATCCCAGCACTCAGGAGGGAGAGGCAGGAGGGAGAGGCAGGCAGATTTCTGTGAGTTCAAGGCCAGCCTGGTCTACATAGTGAGTTCCTGGCCAGCTGGGGCTTCAGGGAGGCCCTGTCTTAAAAAGACAAAATAAAGCCGGGCATAGTAGCGCACGCCTTTGATCCCAGAGGCAGGCAGATCTCTGTGAGTTCAAGGCCAGCCTGGTTTCCAGGACAGCTGGGGCTACAGGGAGACCCTGTCTCCAATAAATAAATAAATAAA